CGGCGGAACAGGCAAATTCCACGCGAGGCGCGCAATGAACGCGCAATGAGCAAAATGCTCAGCATTCACTGGGACGCACCTAGCGCACAAAGGTGCAAGTTGCGGACTAAGTCGCCTTTGCGGCGCCAAGCTCCGAGCAGCTGCCCAGACAGACAACTATGCACCAGCCTGGGACGCCAGCTGCACGCAGTGGAAACGAAGGCCGACGACGCCGAAGGCTGACCCACTCGGCGCGCGGCCAACGGAACCACAACCGACTGCAGACGCTGGCCGAAAATCCAAAACACAGTGTCGCGCAAGTGTGGGAGGGCTGCAGCAGCCCACAGAGTGCGACCGGGCGTGTGGAAGGAGGGGCGCAGCTAACCGCCGCAAGAAATACGTAACTGAAGGGCAGCTGCACACCGTCTGTGAGAACACATGTGGGGGGCGCAGCTAATCGCCACAAGAATCACGTAGTGAAAAAAAGGGGGGGGCACGGTGCAGTGCGGCATAGGCTGGAGTGTGCCAGCGCTGAGAGCCACAAAGCGACAGGACTGGCAACACTACGCGACACAGCTGCGGCTGCACCTGATGTGTACCAGCGGTACGAGGCTGAAGGGCAGCTGCACACCGACTGAGTGGACACGCGTGGGGGGTGCAGCTAACCGCCGCAAGAGCCACGTAGTGCACAGAGGAAGGGGGGGCGGCACGTCGCAGTGTGGCGTAGGCTGGAGTTTGCCAGCGAGGAGAGCCACAGAACGACCGAGTCAGAACCCTTCGCCACCGCTGAGGCTGCACCTGATGTGTACCAGCCTGGAAAGCCAGATGCACGTAGTGATAGACGAAGGCCGACGACGCCGAAGGCTGAACCACTCGGCGCGCGGCCCACGTCACCACCAACGACTGCAGACGCTGGCTACGATGCAAGAACACACGTGTCGCAGCTGGTGGGGATACGCGAAGCGTCAAGACTTCGTCTCTTTTCCCCTCGTAGAAATCGTTCACCATGGGTTCCCCGGACCCTTGCCGAAATCCAATCGCAATCGTTGTCCCAAATGCATCCAGCCGCGGCGACAGGGGAGAGGCCCGGAACCCCCCCAACCACAACAAACCTCCCGAGTCCGACGGGCTACTTCGCTCAAATTCTGTCCCCGAGCCTCTCCCCCCGAGCGCTGATGCAACTTCTCGCCGCGGGCCTGTCCGGTTTTGAAAATCCTGGAGTCCAACAAAACGGCCACCGGAGACCGAAACCTATCAAACATAAAAGTTGCTCAAACAAAAATATTTGGAAAGGCGGCCGGAACCGCCGCGGGCATCTACCTCGATCGAGAAGAAGAAGAAGAAGAGGAGAAGGACGAGGAGGAAGAGAAGGATAACTAACAAAAATCAAACAGATTTCGTAGTCGCCGCCGATGTCTCACAGAGTTTTGTGTTCTTTCGACCAGCCGAGGCATCTCCTCGAGGTCAGCCTCCAAGAACCGTTTTCAGTGCCCGGGGCCACCGCCGATGGTCCAGGATGAGGATCGACCTCCCTGGCCGGTGCCACCCCTTCGCAAAGGAAGGACCACGGAGTGGATCGAGGCTCGAGGCATGAGACTCAGTTCCTGGGAGCTCTCCGCCCTCTCAGGGCCTTCAGGAAGCTCCTGGCCAACACAGCTGGGTCCACTCTCGAGCTTCTGGCCAGACGCACCCCCAGCCAGTCTCAACGATCCCCGAGCCTATCCAGGGGGTGGAATAGGAGGCCTGAGACAGGCCTCGTTAAGGCCCCAAGAAACACACATAAGACCACGAACAACTTCGAAATAATCCCCTACAAAGTCCACCCTTGAACCCCACACGCTACGTAAGACAGGCCGAAAGCCCAAGATTGCCCAGCGATCGCGCGCGTTCCGCGAACTCCGTCTTTCACTCTTGCTGCTGCCCCAAGGGGTCGGCGGCGCGGCGTAAGTCAACGAAGCACATCCCTGAGCAGGACAACTCGCCTGGGCATCGTTTCTGGATGAACTGGTGAAACTTCGCGAAGCGTCTACAATATTGTAACCGTGTGTATGAGCCAGGAACTGCACCCATACATGACCCCGGGCAACACGGTCTCGTTGAAAAAACGCAGACGGCTTGCAAGAGGATAGCGTTGGCATGCGAATGTATGTTTTCACTGGTGGAACCAGCAACAACTGGAAACCATTATGTTGACGACATCCACGTCGTGGAACTCGTGATAAATAAACTTCCTTCCAAAACAGGTCGTGGTCTGCGTTGCATCGAGAATCTCCACACTGCCCCTGTCGATGTATACAACCTTCACACTTTCGGCTGAACGAAGGATGACATCGGTGCTTGCTTGCGTTGTCTAGGTGTCGCTCCGGTCCACACTGAGTGGAGTACGTGGTAAGTCGCGAAGCCAACATCTCAACTGGCGGAATTTTCGTCCACATATTAAAACGTCGTCTGCACACTGGAGGTCGATCAGGAAGGTGTCTCCCTGGAAGCTCTGACGCATGCAAAAATACATGTTACGCCACTGGAAAATATGTTCAAGCTGCGCATGGAATAATAACGAGCAAAGCGAGCGTCCTTGTCCTCACTTCACGCTTCGCTGAAATCAAACTCTCTCTAATTGTCTTGTCCGTCTGTACTGCGGCGGCTTGGTCGGTGCAGAGCTGCTCGAGGAGACGGGTATGTTGTCGGTACTTGCTGCTCCTTGGCGGCTGACACAATCAATGGATTTGTGGCTGAAGGGCCTGGTGGGGATACGCCAAGTCGCCTCTCGGACCCGCAGGGTCCCAGTGCTTCAGATCATCGGAGGGGGCCATCCTTTGCGTCCCAGGCCGCCTGGGCCCCACGGTTTAGCACATGCGGGCAAGGTCTGACGAGCGACCGAGAACCGAAGGCGAGGCCCCCTCCTGTGGCACTTCCTGGAGAGCGACTTCAACCAAGCCTCCATTTGAGCAGGAGCCGACCGTTCCGGCATTCCTGTAGTGCTACCAAGATTTACTCGTAGAATCAAAAAGAGTACTCTAGGAACCAACACCATGTTCTTGTAACATAGGCCCGATGTTTTGAACCAAGACGGTCTCAGCCAGAAATACTCTAAGAGCACCTCGTGCAGACCACACAAGGTCTTTCGAAAATTCTTCCGTGGGCCGATGAGCAAGCCAGGGCGCTTCGCCCTTGCGTGATCGAACGGGAGGACTGGCGAACTGTAGGTTGGGCAGGTCCTCCTACAGGCAGATCTTGGAAGGACAAACACAGTCTACAAATGAGGACAATCACAAATGGTCAAAAGAGAACGAGAAATCGTCACCAGACTGTTATGTAACTTGTCTTGAATACTCCTCCTGCAGGGAGACATTTCCAACTGAAGGCTGACTTTGGCCTGCCTCCGGGCCAGGCGGTGGCCCCGGGTGACTGGCGGGAGCCCCAGACCCGACGGCGAGCCCGCGGCGGCCCTCCTCCTGGGCCAAGTGGGTTCTGTGCGTTCTGAGGTGGCTCACCGACGCCTGCTCTGGCCCTGCACCGAACTGTACCCTTCTATAGGAAGCCCACGCAGAACGTAGGCGCCCACCCACGTACATGAACACGGTCCTCCTATCCGCGAGACCAGCCGTGTGATACGAAGGTTCGCGCAATGCGTCCTCTCGAAACCAACGTGGACGAATGTACGTGGACGTCCTTCTGTCGTTCCTCATTCTACTGGCCTAGCCAGTGGCACGGGGCATTACGCGTCCTCTGCATGCCGCCTCCCATTGGCTCGTGCCGCTCGCCCTAGCCCGCCCCATGCCCAGAATACCACGGCTTCAGTTGAGGAGTGTTCGACACAAGTTCGGCTGATATTTAGCGTGTGCGCCCGGGATGCTGCTGACGCGACATCTCCATTCGAGGAGGAGCATTATGTAGGAAATCCTCGAGCGCATGGTCGCTCTCAACCTCTCCTTGTTCCTGTGCTTCATGATTCGGTCTTGCCTTCACTGCAAACGCTCCTGATATCAGCTGAACGCCCTAATCCTCCTCCCTCCTCCGTCACTCCAACCCTCAAACTCCATCTGCCCTCCTTCTCCCTCCTTCACTTCCCATCCCTTCCTTCTCCGTCCTCCCTCCACCGCCTCCTCACTCCTCCTCTCTCCCTCCATCTATCCCATCCCATTATCTCCGCCTCTCCCTACTCCCTCCCCTCTCCTCGCCTCCATCCCTCCCCTTCCCTCCCCCATCCGTTCTCCTCCCTCCTTCCTCCTGTTTAGAGGACTCACACCTGGGGACGGGATAGGGTCGGAGAATCGCACCACATCGTCGATGCATCGCCGATGCATCGACGATGCACCGGCGACGTCGGGGCGGAGAATGTCGGACTCCAGCGCATGCCGCATCGCCAAAACGTCAGCAATGCAGCGCAATCCTCCCACACCATCCGCTCTGGTCCCAGCTGGAAGGCCTAGACTGGCCCTTCCCTCCTCATCCTGCTCCTCCCTCCCTCCATACCTCCTTCCCTCCTGCTACACCTGCCGCGTGGCCTGCCTCCTCCCCCTCCTCCTCCTCCTCCTCCTCCTCCTCCTCCTCCTCTTCCCTCTCCTCCTGGTCCTCCTGGTCCTCCTACTCTCCCTCCTCCTCCTCCTCCTCCTCCTCCTGCTCCTCCTCCTGCTCCTTCTCCTCCTCCTCGTCCTCCTCTTCCTCCTCCTCCTGCTCCTCCTACTCCTCCTCCCCCTACTCCACCTCCTCCTCATCCTCCTCCTCCTCCTCCTCATCATCATCATCATCAGCAGCAGCAGCAGCATCATCCTCCTCCTCATCCTGCTCCTCCCCTCCTCCTACTGCTCCGCCTCCTCCTCCTCCTCCTCCTCCTGCTGCGTTGTTTGCCCTCCTCGACCAGTGTGAGCCCATGCTCACAGCGATCACTTGTCAATCGCGTTTGCAGATCTCATGCTCAAATCATGTGCTAATCCGCCGCAACCTTCTATCCTCCTCCTCATTCTGCTCCTGCTCCTGCTCCTCCCTCCCTCCATCCCTCCCTCCGGGCGCTGGGGCGCCTTCCGCACAGACAGGTTCGAGGACAGCATGTGCGACCAAGAGAGCGGCGACGCCTTGCGCGCAGGAGAGAGCGCGCGCGCACGGGCGCACCGCCGCGGGTAGCACACGTGTCCTCGTGGTGCACCTTCTCCTCCCTCCTCTGACACTTGAGATGGCGCCTGCGCGCCGTCGCTGTAGACACTAGCCGTTCCAGACCGTGGTCCGTGGTCCGGTATGCCCGTCAGACTTCACGCGGGTCCTCCCACTCCTCCGTCCCCCTCCACCTCCCCCTCCTCTTCCTCCTCTTTGTCTTATGTGGTTTCCTTCGTGTTGCCATGCGTCTCATCATCATTATTATTATTGGTTTTGCTTGTCTCTGCTCCTTCGTCGTTATAGCATGCTTGCTATTATTAGTGTGAGTACTACTACTAGCATTATATGATTCGCAGTATCAGTCGCATTGTTCGTCTTATCGTCCCATGATCCTTAATCGTATTATTGTTAGTATTCGTATTGTTACTAGCATCAGTAATGCTGCGATGCAATACTAGTACTACCACTGTTCCACTTATTGATAATAAGATGTTTATTCTTACTGCTGTCTTTATTGTGATAAATCCTCTTCCTCCTCCTCGCCCTCCTCCTTTTCCTCCTCCTCCTCCTACTCCTCCTTCTCCTACTCCTCCTCGTGGCTGGGGGACCTGGGCGACCTGGCCCCCTGTGGTGCGGCGGCTCTGGTGAGTGGGTCTGTGCTCCCCCCCCTGTGCCGGGCCCCCCCCCCCAGCATGGGGTCCTCTGGCCCCCCGCTTGACTTGCCGCCCGCGCAGGGGGCGGGCTCGGAGCGCGTGCTCCACAAGGGTTTGGGACCGCCTCGTGGTGTCGGCACGGTGTGGTTGATGTTTCAGCTGCGTGCGCGAGAACGTCTACAGCGCGTAGTGGTTGATTTTTCAGCTACGTGCGCAGGGAAGTCTGTGAAAGGGCCAGCACCCGACCAGTAGGCTTTTGGGTTGAGGGCTCTAGGCGGCGCTGACAGGCCCCGTTCTATACGGTAGAAGTAGGACCAGAGGATACCTATTTATCCTGTTCGCCATCGTCCCCATCCCCTTCCCTCCTCCTCCTCCTCCTCCTCCTCCTCCTCCTCCTCCTCCTCCTCCTCCTCCTCCTACTCCTCTTTTTCCTCCTCCTTCTTCTCCACCTCCTCCTCCTCCTGGGCCTCCAAGAAGTGCGACAGCAGAGGTTGCTGGGTTCTGCTTCTGGGGCCTCTAGAGCCCGGAGGCCGCGGGCACGCTTTGGCGAGACGGATGGTCGGCAGCCTCCAGCCTCTGCCCCAGCATGGGCCAAGGCCGCGGACCAACTGCACCTGACGCACGTCGGAAGGATGCAATGTGAGGACGTAAGGCCACGGAAGGTCACGGGTGCACCCCGCCACGAGGGCAAAGCCGAGTTGCTGCCACGAGGCGCGCTCCACAAGGGACTCAGCGGCGCGCCAGGGTGGGGGACGAGACGGGGCAGGCCTACTCAGCAGGCGACCGGCCTTCTGAGAGCCTCCTGGGAAGCCAGTTCCGTCTTCGAAGGGGGCTTAGGCAACCTCTCGGAGAGCTGGAGGCCTTCCGAGCCTTCTGAAAAGGCCGGCCCCCTCTGCCTTCCCCCTGGGCGCGCCGCCAAAGGGCAAAGCCTATGCCTTGGCCTCCAAAGCGCCCGGCCGCAGGAGGAGCGCGAAAAGAACCTCCATGGACGGACTCGAGGAACGTCGAGCCCGTTTCAAACCCGAACTCTTTCTTATTTCAGCGTGTTGGCTGTACCGTCATGGGCTGACCATCGCAGTCGACTGAGAATGAGCCGAAAAGAAAGCAAGGATGCGAGGGCATCCTCGGAAGAGACTGACAGACCCTATCATTCCCAAGGCGGACGTGTCCGCACACACGCACACACACACACTTTTTGCGTCGACGGCTGGGCAGAGGGCGACTGCTGGGGCGGAAAGGCAACAGGGGACATGCTGTATGCAAATTACGGCCGCGATGCACGGAAGGAGGGGGAGGAGCCCCGGCGGGACAGGGAGAGAAGAAGCTGGGCCACTCAGAGCTGCCGGCTGCGGCGGGAGGAACACGGGGGGGAGCAGCGCCGGGACAGACGTGCACTGGGCTGCACTGAAATGAAACTTGGGGGAGGCAGTATAGAGCTGCAGCAGGTGGTGGCGGAAAACACAACGAAGCAGAGCCCGACCCAATGGACCGAGCACAGTCCAGGGATTGGCCAGCCACGCACACACACACACACAGACGCACGCACGCACGCACGCACGCACGCACGCACACAAACACACACATACACACACACACACACACACACACACACACACACACACACACACACACACACGCGCGCGCGCGGGCACACACACACACACACACACACACACACACACACACACACACACACACGCCCGCCGATCCTGGCCAGGCACATCCTGAGCCCCAGACCTACGATGTGCGTTTTTGTTGTTCAGTGCGCGGATCCCAGATCGATCGGCCCCTTCCCCAAGCACCATATGCTGATCCTGAGGCGTTCTCTTGACGATTCGTTCCCGGGCCCAAGATCGGCCCGGTCAAGGTCGGTGCAGGTGGATTGGTCGGCGTCCGCCGGCCAAGGGCAGGGCGGGCAGACGAGAGACCTTGGCAGAGCCAGGAGGGAGGGATGGGAGGCGGAGAAACGCCGACTCGGGCGAAAGAGAACAAACGAACAAAACGGTTGACAGTCGAGGAAAGCGCGAAGCCATCTCACCTCCAGACAACACTGCACGGTTGCAGCTACAGGGTCTAATACCGATGAAGATCAAAAGGACACACTGTGGCATGCGAGCCTCCATGCAAGTAGCCATTACGTAGACAGAAAGACAGGACAATGACTTAAACGACGCGCACGTCAGGCCGACAGTGGTTCGTCAAATCACCGTTTGTACACAATGGGCCGAGACAAACACAGGTCGCGCTATTATCACGAATTGAGATATGGCACACGAGAAAGAAAACGCAAAACGTTGAAGAGCAGCGGAAGAAGGCGCAGCAAAGAATACGGATGTAAACAAAAGGACGACGGAAAGGGCCAGTGCGGAGGCCGGAAGGCGAAGGACGGCGGCGAAGGATGGGGAGGAGTCGGAGGCAGACGCAAGATGGGAATGAAAAGGATACGGGGAGAAGAAAGACTGTCTGCTTGCAGCTAATCCGCACGCTCCACCACACCCGACACCCGAGAAGCGCGATCTCCGCACCGAGGACGACGACGGGGACGGCGGCAGAGACGACAGCGACCATGGCGGCGGCGGCGGCTGGCGAGCGCCGACGGCGGCCTGGAGCGTGTCGGGAGGGGCGTCGGTCGACACGGCGATGAATCGGATGGCCTGACGGGCGGCGGGGACCGGGCCGCCCCTCAAAGAGCCCTCCTCCAGAGTCGGCCCTGGTTGGGTCTCTGGAAGGCTCTGGAGGATAAAAAACTCCAGACCTCCAGACCTCTGGGACCTCTTGGGACACCCAGTAACCCCTTCGTTGCTCCCGCCCTCCTATTTCCTCACCGCCCACCTCGTCCCCCTGAAGCGCCCGGATTTGTCGAAATCTCTCGCCATACTTTTCCCGATGCAACCTAAGTCACAAACAGGCCAGGAGGGTTTCGAGAGGTACCCAACAGGGCCCAAGGCAGTCCCGACGGGGCCCAAGAACGTCTCAACAACGCACAGGATAGTCTCAAGATGGTCCAGGCCTGCAAGACAGCCCAACAAAGTTTACCCAAGAAAGCCCCAATGATCAACCGAAGGTGATACACTGAGTCGACTCGAGAATGCCCGCTAGCTCGCGAAGGTACACGCTGCTTGTCTACCTGATTCCAGGGCCCCTGAACACCAAACAACGTCGGAACGACAATACTTCAGACACATGTGAGACGATGATGCATTGAGTCAGACATGCGCTGGCAGGCACATATACACGCATACACTATATCGAGCGGTTTTTTGTTGAAGACAAAAACAAAGTAACACATATATATATATATATATATGAATCTCTATATAAATATAAGTATATATATACGTATATATGTATATATATTGAAACGGGAACTCGCCCACGCTCAGGGGGGCTGGATTTCTCCCTGGAAGCATCCACGCTCGACCAGGACCGAACTAGAACAGATATATCACGCCAAACACCGCAGGTCCCCTGCACAACACTGCAAACACGGATTAGTTGTTTGACCTAAACGGTTGGACCCCGCCCTCCCCAGTCGGCTTGGGTTTCTCCTCTCCCTGCTCCTGCCTCTGCTTGCCCTTCCCTTTTCCTCTCTCCCGCTCAAGCCTTCGGGGCTCGAAGCCCTGGAGCCGACCTCAGGAGGTCTGGGCGCCCGCGGCGCCCGGAAGCGTGCGTGCCATGGCTGCCCGGCGCCCGGCGCTGGCAGGCGCGGCGCGCGGGCTGGCCGCGCTGGTCGCCAGCGCAGCCGCCTACGACTGGCGCGGGCCCCTCAGCTCCGCTGTCGCCCGCGCCAGTTGGGGCCACCCGGCTGCGGCCCAGGAGGCCCCGTTCGGGTACACCGTGCCGTACTACGACGACTCCGAGTACGGCATGGAGATCGGCGAGCACAAGGAGGAGGGTGGGGATGCAGGCAGCCCCCAGGCGCCGCCCGACAGTGGGCCGCCGGGAGCGCCGCCCCCGCCCCCAGCCCAGGACGCCGGAGGAGTCGACAATGGCAGCGACCCCGTCAAGGACCCGGGCAGCGAGGAGTCTTGGGTGGGCGGCTGGGGTGTCTGGGCGCTGGGATTGAAGCCACTCCGCGAGGGCACCTGGGCCTGGCGCCTGAGTGGCATGGGCGGGGTCGCCTACGAGAAGCTTGACAGCCTTGGGAGCGCCTTCTCCACCCATGCCGAGACAGGCTGGCTGACCAAGGATGGTGGATGGTTCTTCTATGCTCTCGAGAAGCTGGGCCTGACGGTCTTCGGAGCCGCTTGGCCTGCCGTGGCATGGACGTTCATCTTCTTGGCTTTCCTGGCAGTGCTGGCTTTCCTCACTCACATCTGTCGTACCCTACTGGCCCCCTGCGCAGCCGCCCTCTGGCTGATCGGTCTACTGGCGCGGTGCACCAAGTGCCGCCGGCGAGAGCCTGGCGATGCAGATGCCGAAAGGTACCTGCCGCCGGCTCCGCCTGCCCTTACCCAGATCAATTGGATGGGGCCAGAGACCGGACCAGCCACGACCACGGAGTACTACAGCAAGAAGGTGAAGGGTCGTGGGACTGGGAGGCGACCTAACGACGTGCTGATCAAGATCGACGACCACGTGGCCCGGTTGAAGATCGACCTCTCGGAACCCAAGCGGATCGACCGGAAGGGCCTCTGGATAGACTACCTGGGCGTGAAGGGGGCCAGCTCACGCGCGCTCCGTCAGAAGCTGGAGTCGCTCGAAGGCCGTTCCATTCACCTGTGCCGCAACCTGGTTTGTAGAGATCAACCTGGAGAAGTTCATTGTAAAGAGTATGCTGCCTTGGATTCCGAGGCGATCGTGGACATCGGCCCCCACGCCCGGTTCACCTCCTGCCGGGGCGTCTTCCTGCTCTGGCGGACCGTCGCCGACCTGGGAAGGGGCATCTGGAAAGTTACCGTGTTCCTTTACTGCATCCTTTCCTGCGGTTGCTCCTTTTGCTGCCGGCGACGCCGCCGTCGCAAGACAGGCGCTGCGGAGCCAGGCGTTGCAGGGAGCATCGCAGAAGTTTTGGATCAGGAGTCAGAGTCGGAGGTGGAGGCCGAGGACAAGCCATGTGAAGCTGTTCGGGTGGGTATCGTTCTACGCGGCGGCGCCCGCCCCTTGGCACCCGACGGTTGCAGGGGCGCCGCGGAGGCCGAGCCGACAACCCTGCTCTTCGAAGACGGGCAAGCTTCAGACCTCCCGCCACCCAGTGACGGGCGGAATTCGTTCGCCCATCTCTGCGCACATCATGCCCAGGTTTACCGAGCATCTCGGTACCGTGATAAATGTTCGGCCAAGCAGTTGGCAACGCAGAGGGCGTACCACTATGTCTTCTTCATCTGGGTGGAGAAGCAGGTCGAGCAGTGCAGGCAGCCGCAGCCGTCCAGGGCCGCGGGTTCTTCTCGAACCTGGGCTTGCGGCGTCGGACGGTTCGCAGTCGCAGCCCACGGGCGCGCGAGCAGGGCATCCCAGTCAATGCAGCTCCCCCCGCAGACGGGGCACGGGGACCAGAGGGCCATCGCGGACAAGCAGCCCCTGGGCAACACCGACGGGAGGCCTCAGCTTCGCCACGAGGTCCACCTGTTGGTGTCAGGTTTGAAGCGCCGCCTTCTCCGAGGGTGCCCCTCCCGCGAGACGCCAGCCCTGCCCCCGACGAGGAGACCGAGCAAGGTGACCCTCTCGTACTACGTGTGCGAGTCCACTGGGCCGCCGGCCCGCAGTGGGTTATCTTCTTGGGGAAGTCCCGTCCAGGGGGAGGGCCCACCGGAGATGGCAGCACGACTGTAGTAGACGTGGAGGAGCCGCACTGCAAAGACTACTCGGCGGAAGGCCAGGAGAACGTCTGCTTCACCCTCAAGACCGCGGGGATCGAGTACGCTCCCGTCGCCAGCGACCAGGGAAGGCTCCCCGCGGGCTACCTGGAGAAGCTCTTGTATCACCCACCACTCGGGGCCGAGGAAATGGGGATCGGGGTGCACGGCGTCGTCGTGAGCAGCACCATGTGGGAGAAGCTGCGTCCTTGGAACGGGGTCCCCGTCGGCGGGAAGACCAAGCGCATCGGCCGCCCTCAGTGGGCTCAGCTTCGGGCCCGCGGGGATTTGCTCGTGCACCGGCATCCAGCGGGCACCTCAGGCGATGCCCCCGGAGCACCGCAGCCCACCCCCGACGAGCTGGACACGCAACTCAAGAAGCATTGGGCGAGGCTTGATCGCAGCAGTTCCCCCAAGCCCCCATTCGGCGTCGGGTGGGGCCTGGGCGAGGAGGGTGATCTGGCCCCCTCAGTCCCTCGGCGCTCTTCCCGCAGTCCGGCGGGGAAGGACCACGAAGAGGAGAACACCGGGGAGGCCATGCTGGGGCTGTACCTCGCCGCTCACGAAGAAGGATCGGACGACGCCTCGGCGCTGCAGAGCGCGGCGGCAGGATATGACGAGGACATCACCGTGGTCTTGGGGCATCTCATCAAGTACACCAGGCGTCTCATGCGCAGCAGCGGGACCGAGGAGCGGGCCAAATACCAGGCGCACATCGACAGGTGGGAAAGAAAGTTGGAGCGGGTTCGAGCCGAGAAAGATGAAGGGGTGAACCCACCCCTCGCTAGTGGCCTCTTGAAGCTAGACACCGAGCGCAAGCCCGACGCCAGCCAAGAGCCCAGCCAACCTGGAGTTCCCCCTGGGCTGGACGCCGCCCCGAGCGCTCCGCCATTGCCGCCGCCGGCTACTCCGCCTGGCGTGCGCGTGCCGGGAGCGACTCGCTTGTCCCCGCCAGGTTTGATGCCCGGCCTTGTACCGAATCTCGGGCAGATGTTCACTAACCGGAGCGCTTACGGCCACGGAGGACTGGTTAAAACCCCGGGGCAACCCGATCGTAGGTACGCCGCAGGAGCCGGAGAAGGTGAACCCTCAGCCGCTTTCTCCACCTACGCGCAAGTCCTCCAGAACGGTCAAGAACAGCAGCACCTGGACAATATGCGGCTGCTGCAGGCGGTGGACAGCCTCCGCAGGTCCGGTGAGGAAGAGAAGGTAGCGCAGCGGGGCACCCTCGGCGCCATCGGACGTGCCGAGGAGGTGGACGTGTACCTGGCGCGGGGTTGCGACACCCTCGACGTAGAGGTCTGCGGTACCCTGACCGGGCGGGAGTTGTCCCATGGCCTCAAGGCGCCTGCGAGCACGCGAAGCACGTGATGCAGGCGGCGAACTGGCCGACGACGGTGACGAACAGGATGGCGCACGGCATCGCCGCCTTCTGTTGGGGGGGGCGGGACCACAAGGATCTGGCTGAGTGGTCGATCTCCGTGGCCGATTTTCCCCATTGCAAAGCAGAGGTGTTCGACGCCTACACCATGCCCACCACGTGCAAGCTCGAGCCGCGCCCCCGGCACCCGGTCGTCTTCTCTCAGTGGGTGAGGCAGGCCGAGAACGCCATCACCGTCTTCGGGCTAGTCTACGGGCGGATGCACGAGCCCGAGCGACGCCGAGCCCTGGAGACCCTGCGCCTTGCCTACGAGGAGGATGACGTGGCCTTCCCAGCTGACTATGTGTACAGTCTTTGGGAGGAGCTTGCCGCAACCTGGTGCGAGCAGCTTCGGGAGAAGCGAAGGGAGGTGTGCCGCGTCCTGGGGCTCACCAACCCGCGCCGGGAGGACATCAAAACCATCGCCCTCGCCCCCACA